ATGATCACAGGTTGTTTCCATCTAACTGTCTGTAGTATTTTTTTTTTTTAAATCCTAACAAATAATAACACACATCCCCTCCAAACCCAAAATATCTTCTATTTCAGTGAAAGCCTCAAAACAGCTTGAGGGCACTCATCCTGGCAATGTGAAAGTAGGCTTGAGATTCAGCCCTCTTCCTTTTATCAGTGCCTTTACCCATGATCTGTAGCCATGGGGTACATTAAAACATCAGTATCAGATAAAACCCTGTGTTCTGGCACAGCAGGCAATGAAAGGTAACGAGCACTGCTTTCTATGTCCTGAAACTCCCTGGGAATCTGATCAAAAGATGGCTTCACCACCGAAACTTTTGTTGTGTTGGGATGGAACTCATGAGACTCATGACTGGACTTTATCTCTGGGCCGGAGCTGGCAGAAGGATGGGCTTGGTTGGCACATGTTAAGTACAATGTCTAATTTAATGTTATAAGAGAATTAGTACCATATGTAGAGTATCCATACTTTTGCAAAACATGGAAAGAGGAGTTAATCAAAACCTCAGATTTAATTCTTATTCATTACTAATATAGTTACTTCTTTTAGTTCCTTTCTAAAAGCCATTGAAATGTTTGTGGAAAGAATATGTGTGGTAACAAAATATGGGTTTGCTTTATTTTGCATGAGGTCACCACTTTAGGTTTACTATAGGTCTAAACTGTTTCACCCAGGTTTGAACCTCAGCCTACCCCAATTACAGTGTTAGAGTTCATCTGACTTCTCCCACAAGTCTTGGTGAGCTATTTTATTATTTTCCTGATGAAATTGTGGAAATGTCATTATATTGCTACCGCTGGTTCATGTACTTCATTTGGTGACACTGAATAGCTCACAGCACACATCCAAGCAAAGGACAACCACAAAAATTAACCTTGTGTTGCCTATTTGGAGAAAACATGGTTTAAATGGTTGATCTTGGTGTGTCTCAAAGGACCTGTGAAATGGATTTGAAGCCAGCCTTCTCCATCAGCTAATCTATGTGTGAGAGCTAAATAAAAGAACCTTGGGGAAAGGTGAAAAAAGAGTAAGTAATTAAATATTAGAAAAAGTGGAAAATAAAAATTTGATTTATACTATTTTTAATGGGTTCTTTTAATTGAGTTGACAAATATATCATGAGGCAGAGGTTAACTAAACGACCTCTGGTGAAAACTATATAGAATAACTTAATAAAATGTTGCATGAAGCAGAAAATTCCATGACTATTTGGTACTTGGGGTATTCCCTCTCTTTCAGTTAGAGGGCATTTATTACCCACTAACTGTGTCTCGATACTCAAGCAAGACAGATGATGTGGTGACATATTCAAGATTGTGAACTAATGTTCACTCTTTTATAGAGAACAAAAAAAGGCAGTAGAATTTTTCCCCCTGACAGCATGCCTATTTTACTCTCTAGACATGGAGCTAAGCAATGGTTCCTGAAAATTTGGAGTGGGTTTTAGGGATGGGGACACAAGAGACTCCAGTCCACTCTCTCAATTTTTTATTTTAGTCCTCATAGTGCTCTAACCCTACTATTTTCCAGATTTTATATAGGTTTTTAAAGAGCTTATCAGACAATTGCCTGTTCTCTATCTCAGTCTGGCATAGGATGAGTGTATGTTATGTTCTCCTGAAATGTCAGGATTTGCGAGAGGGGACTCTATTTTAGAGGAAACTTTAATTGCACATGGCCAGCTGAACAGTTGGGCACTCTAAACAGAGTCCACCTTAATATCAACAAGTTTATAACAAGGCAAAAGATATTGACAAAAATCTACAGATCAGCTGAAGGATCTGTTTTATTATAAGGTGAGTCATTCCTAGTGCTCTCAGGTTGTACTAAACAGGTCTCCTTTGTTCATATGCGGGTAACTAGGGCCTCAGGGCTGTGTGTCTGCCACCTAAATCATCTCATTTAACCTCCAGCAACTCCAGAAGGGATCTGCAATAGCCATGTGCCATATTCATTGTCTGCAAGCAGATGTCTCAGATACCTTACATACCTCAGAAGGTATTAGCCATTTGTGTGGACAGCCGAATCAAATCCTTTCCCCCATCGATTGCAGTGGGATATTAGACACCCAACACATAGACAGCCTCTTGCATTGTAGACACTTAGAGCCTGAAGCTGATGATGCCTCAAATTTTACTGATCCACTCAGAGGGATAAAATAAGAATCAATTTTACATGTTACTCTTTGGTATATTTCAGGAAAAGAGCATGATTAGTCATAGTCACTCGTTCACAAATTTTATTTTGATTCAAGAAGTTTGTTTGGATAGGTAGCTCATTTAGAGCAAACTCTTTTGTTGATTTTGATCAGTATTTGGTCATTTCCCCAACATGGCTATTCATGCAAACCATAAATGACTAACAGCAGAGTTGTGTAGTCTCTAGACACAACATCTACCTTCTCACTATTCTCAGCAGAAATGTTCACAGTGTTGATTGCCAGCTGAAGAACCCGCTCGGGTCCTTCAGAGAATTTGCAGCTCAAAGGCTGGCACTAGAGAGTTTCCTCTGCTGAGCCCATTACATGGTGACCCTCCACAGCTCACACAGAGAGCTGAGGACTAAAGAGAGCTGAACTCAAGGAGAGAAAAAACAAACCAGTGATAATATCAAAGGAGAACAACAGGCAAATCAGATGTAAGGATACAGCCTTACATGGATTACCTGAGATCTTTGATCACCATTATCTTGTTTCAGACCCACAACTAGAATCACATTTTTGTGCATCAGCCCGTCTCCATTTTCAGTACAACGGTGATGGTGTTTCTTTAAAACAGTATGGATTCTTCTAATGAAGAAGCAAGTAAAAATGATCTGTACTCCCCTTTACCAGAATATCCTAATCTAGAATATTTTGAAAACAGCATAAAATTCTTGGAGCTGAAGCTAAAGAGGGAATTTCCCAAGGCAGAAACTGCCATGGTATTTTTTCTTCTTTTGCCAGTTTTCCAACTACAAATAATCGATACTACTACCAGATTCAACCCAGTACTAGAATGATTTTTACCACCCACACATAGCACCAAAGTCCTGCGGTTTGAGTACATCTTAAGGACAATTCTGTTTCTCAAACTGAGATATTTCCTCCGATCAGAAATCAATTTGCCCTATGGGTGAAGCATTCATACTGCTCCCTTTAAATAGGAGGTGCAGCTAAAACAATTCCCCAGCAAAGACACAAAAAGATGTTCCACATTCCTGGATGCTCCTTCTGAACCATAGTGTATATAAAAGCAAGGAAAGAGGCTACTCATCCCATGATGCTTAATCACTATAGGATAAATTATCTGTAAGAAACATGGTAGAGTCTCATTTCATGCCTTTGTGATTACACAAGGTGAATTACAAAGCAAACTTTTGTGCCAGAAATTTTTCTCTCTAACTAACTGAGCTTATCCAAGTGACCTTTGCAGGCAAGATTTGCTGGCTCTTTATCCTCCTTGAGCATTCCGGGGGTGTTGTCCAGCTTAGAAGGCATAGAAAGAGGAGTAGCCTCCTTCCTGTGGAGAGGGGACAAATAATTTTTCTGTATGAGAACTATGTAAAAAATCAAAACCTCATCCTTTAGTCCTCAACATCAAACGTAACTAAGAGTGAAAATATTAGCATACCCACTTGGTAGTTTCAGCATCTTTGAGCCCAGGTTGAGATTCTGTAAAATAATACCTGCTATAGGCAGCATTTCACTCTCAAGGAGAAAAGACAACACAGAAAGAACCGTGTCTTGCAGAATATACCACCTAATGAGTCTTTCTGCTGTGCCTTTTGCAATTGGACATGTCTATCTCGTGTTGGCCTTATTAGCCACCAACGTGCCTGTAACAAATGTGGATAGAGTCTTTCCCAAATCTTCATTCGCGAAGCCTAGCCATGATATGATGATAGGCTGCATTAGTCAATTCATTAGCTTGTACTCTTCTAATGAAAAGGGAAAGAAACCTGTATTTAAAGCATATTTGGTGTCACCCTCTATTGGAAGTGGGACTGGGGTCTAACCATTGATAATAAGCCAAGACAAAGGAAACGACTGATGGCTGAGTTCAACACCAAACAGAAATGAGTCAGACAGGTATGAAATTAAAAGGCTTGGGTTTTCATATATGTTTTTCCTTTTTTTTTCCTGGTATATATTTTTCTCTATTCTCTAGTCTTAAAGAAGCTGTGTTTCAATTATAATCTTTCATAAAGGATTGTGCTACAAAGTCTTTTATGTTATGTCCACTATTTTTAGAGGGCCTTTTCATTTTATTTTGGTAATATGTAAATAAATAGCTGTACTCAATTTCTCATGCCATTTTTGAAATCTATTTTTATAGTCAACTTTGCTATCACACATCTTCATAATCTCTTTCATGACCACAAATAGTAAGGGCTGACCTGTGAGACATAGCATTCATCTCAGAGGATTTGCAATCTGAAAATCATTGCCTACCAACCAAAAAGAGAAAGTAGAAGCATAGGGACAGTTTAGGGCTCCTATTCCTTTCTATGAGACCTATGCAACTGATATGCTGCTCATGAAAGAACAGAATGTTTGGACACCTGTGCCAGCCCAGTACCCATCCAAGAAGGTTTCATAATCACATTTATTTATAGAATCAGAAGAGGATGCCAAATCAGGTGGGAAAATAAGAGATGGAGCTTATGTCATAGCAAATATTCCCCAGTGAGGGGGCAAAGGGAAGCAATGCTGTTGTCAAGTGCAGAGTAGGGGGGGAGAGGGAGGAGGAAATTTTAGAGTGATTGGATCCCATAAACAGGCAGAGGAATTAGCAGGGAGAGATGTGGTAGAAGAAAATTGAAGGTTTTTCTGAAAGTCAAGGGTAAAAGAAATAAACTGAACACCATAAAAATACCCAGTCTCTAAAAGAGGTACCAGCAGTAAGAGAAAACAATCAAACAGTGTTAGCCTCCCCGAACACGGATGGGTGCCACAGGACTGAATGCAAAAGAAAACACTAACCTGGGCTTCAGGAAAATGATGAGGTATCCTACCTGCTCCCTGGATTTCAGGGGACGTTATTCGAAGGTAGGAGAGAGGAAGCACCTGGGCACCTGGCTGACTTAAGCCATGGAATGTCATTTGCTCAGGAAAAAGTCACTGGAGAGGCAAACCACCAGAGTAACGAATGACGAGTAAACGAGAAGCTGAAATAGGAGAGGAGCAGACTTGAAATGGTTGATAGGGATGCTTTCAAACTCACCCAGTCACCTCATATATTCTCCAGAAAACTTTCAGTTTCCCCCTTGAGTCCTTCCCATTCAGTCTTTGTTTGACACTCTTACCAATCTACATTTCCTAACAGCTTTTCCAACTCCCATTCTCCTTCCTGATATCCTTGCCAAATCCAAGCAGTATCTTTCATTTTTTCCCTTCCCCATATCACATACCAGAACATAATTTTCGCAACCTGAGGGTGCCAGCTCTGTGCTGTGTACTGAAATGACATTAAGCATTATGTGGATCAACAGAAGCTAGAATATTTTTTTTATGGGGTGGGGGTAGAGGGATGGGAGAGAAGGAAGAGGGCCTTGTATGTAGGCCTTCTTTAGCAGAACATCCTATAAGAAACATATGATAAAGTAATCATCACAGATATTTGACAAATGCTACTCAGCTCATTTTTTCCCTTCTTGATGACATATCCCAGGCTTTACACTGAGCTTCCCAAAGATAGATTGTGCATACAGCATGTATCTAGAGGAATGCAAAAGCAAAAAACCAGAAACACTACATTTGGGAGAGATTCCTTCACACTGACTTCTTCAGCAAGATCTGCAAATGAAGTTATTAAAATAGCTAACACAAGCCAGTGTTATCTGAAAGCAAGCAAATATTTTATCATGAATAGTAACTTTGTTTAGTTTTAACATTTAAATCACCATCCACACAGTAGCTGTGTTTTACCCCTTTGGTAACATTATTTACCCTTCATTTATTTGACTGGGAAAAAAATATAATGAAAGTTAAAAAAAGTCATGAAGATTAGAGAAAACATTTATTGAGAATCATATCATGTTGTTTCTGATTAAAATCATATGAGTAGCAAAAAGTGCTTTCAAGAAATAATAGTTCAGGAATTTATTCTAGAAGCTTCACATAAAAGGAAAAGTCAGACCTCTCTTCCAGAAAAACATAAGAATAATGCTTACTACAAATGATTGTTGTCATCTTAAGAGGGAACTTCGCAGAAAATAAGGTATAGTTGGAAACTTAATTTCATTTTTTGGATTTTGAAAATATGGTTTTTGGAAGGCAATAAAAAAGTCTGGAGACTTTCCACTTTTCCTTAAAAATCAGTGTCATTAAGTTATTTTTCTCTACTTTCTTCTTATTCTAGAAATTTTGTTGAATGGAAGCAAGTATCAAAATGGGAAAAACACTTCTCCATGTTTTCATTTTGTTTATGAATTAGAAGGCTGGAAAGCAAAGAATTACAGAAAGAACATGTAACAGAGAATGAGAAAGGAATGACATTTTTCAGAATTTCATCAGGAAAATAGTCTTTCCTATAGGAAAAAATACATTAAAAACCCAAACCCTTATGCACTTTATGAAAAGAGTCTCCCTTCCAGATTTTCATGTTACTTCCAATATACTAAAATTGTCTCACTTGGCAGCAAAGGAGCTAATTGTTCTTTACCCTTTAGAGCTCAGATAACAGCTGATCCATCTTGTTGAATTAAATCTCCTTGGACGATGCTCAGAGTGAGATCAAGGCTTCATGTTCCCCCAATTCTCTCCCCATGCTGAGGAGGTCAGACTTTGACTCCTGGACTTTCATGCAAGAAAGAATTTACAGTCTCTAAGATGCTTTAATTTTCACAGATTTAAAATTCTTAGCCCTGCTTAGCAATGTATCAGTTTTATGTTTGGATCCCAAAATGTCAGATGAGAGGAAGGATATTCAGCAAGTCCCTGTGTTTATTTGACATTCCAGAACTAATACACATTGTGTGGACAAAAGCAATGTTTTACAAGTTTTCACATCGCATTCTGAAAGTGGTGTTTTCTTTATAGTCTATGTATCTTTATGTAGGCTGTAGGCCAGGTTAAGCAGGGTGATGCAAAGGCTGGGCAGAGGGCCTCTATTCACAAAGGAACACTTATTTCACTTCATCTTACATGGCTATCTGTACCGCCAAGCTCACGCTGAGGGATGTTTTACACACATCACACGGTGTGTGTTGTGCTCCTGACTTGCTCCTCTACTTTTATCCCTTTTGTGCAAACCAGGAGGTGGGACCAACAAATCTAACCATCAGCAGTGGTGATGGGGCAGAGGACAGCTTTTGAAACAGAGCCTACAATTTTAGCTGTTTGACATATCTTGCCATCAACCCATGTTATTGCCAAACATAATTTCTCTAGTTTCACAGTGTCATGCCCTGAAAGAGATTCCTTGGAAAGTGGTAGCAAAGCAGACCACTCTGAAGGGATGATATAGTGATGCTAACAGCCATAACATGGCATAGTGCCATGCTCTCTCTTTGAAATGTACAGTGAGAAATGGCCTGTATTTCCATGGCAATATATTATCTGCCTGAGAAGCAAATGTTGCAAAGCATAGAAATTCAACCCCGATCCATCAGTAACACAGATATTTTAGCAGAAAGAGTTACTAGTTGAGCGCTGGCAGAGACATTTAGCAGGAAAGTGGTTACTAGTGGAGATCACAATATCTTTAATGCACTGTTCAATTAAAGGTTGTTTTGTAATGCTGAAGCTTTCTCATCTGCAATCAGAGAAGAGGCAGAGGTTCCTGAATGTTCCAGGTCATTGCAAGAAGTGTGTTCAACACCTTGTTGACCTTTCTTCTTAGCCCTTTGTGTAAATTTGAGCCACTAAGTTCAGTATATAGAGTTGAAATCCAGTACATACAATAAAAGATGCAAGGATTTTCATCAAAACTAAAGCAGATGTGCAGAATTTAGGCCCAACATTTTGATACAAGACCCACCTACTGAACTGCCAGTTCAGCAAGTACTCTTATTGTTTCCTCAGCTGGTCTGTAGATGTTTTATTCTCTGTTTCTGCACTTGTCCTATCTGGGTTGGTATATCTCTCCTGTATACCTCTGGTAGACAAGTACAGTACTCCATTGAACACAGACCCTCAGTGACTTAAAACCCTGTGCTCAGACCATCTCTCATCTTCATAATGATTGACTTGAACTCTACATGAAACACAACACTGCCACCTTTTTTCTAAATGCAGTTGCAATTGCAGGTTGTTCCTCCTGTTTTGAGATGCAGCATCCCATCAGCTAGAGCTGCTGCTCTGGCTGCAGGAGGCACCAGGGCTCTGCAAGGTGATGGCAGGCACCCTCTCACCTGCTCAAATGCAATCGTGGAGCAGAAATAAATGCTACTTCTATGACCCCACAAAAGACAAAATGGAGCACAACTCAGAGGTTTAGTGGCTACAGTACTAATGTGGCTAAGGGATAAAACAAATTTTGCTCTTTTCTCCTAGATATTTATTCCTGTTTATTTTAGAGAGTGTTGGAAAGAATAACTATCTCTGTCTCATATTGGCCTTTTTAGCCACCAACGCGCTTGCAATAAACATGGGTAGAGCCCTTCCCAAATCTTCGTTCGCGAAGTCTAGCCATGATGGAAAGAACAAAGATTGTTCTCTTCTCCCTAGTGTCATTTGAAGGAAAATCATCTTCATGCAACTTCCAAGACTGATGAAATAATGACAACACTGCCTGGCTTCACAAGTCTGACATTAACATGATGCTATAGGGGATGGACCCCCAAAACCAAGCAAAACAAACCAGATGAATGACCCTGCCACAGTCCATCTCCGCTACTAAAGAAAACCAAACCTAACAAGCTCTCAACAGGACTCTCCAAATTGAGTTACATCATACACTTCCATTCTGCTTCATAAGCATTATCTTGGTACACAATTTTTCTGTTTTCTGGTTAATATAGTTCCCAGATTACATGCAACAAAATTACATCAGTTTTATTAAATTACAACATAAAATGTTTCTCTGTCAACAAGTACTTTTTTTCTCATTTAGGTTCATACAAATGTATATATGCATCTTGTGGTTAGATTTCATTACAGTTGTAGAAGAATTAATTCCTGAACAACAATAAAAAAATTCAGTCAATAGCCAAGGGAAGAAAGTCAGAAAGAAAGAGATAATGGAAATTAATAAGCAAAATAAGCAACAAAGAACTGGAACCTGGTGGGCCTTCAGCCATTTTACATCCAGTACCTGAAGCAGTATGTGTAAAATCATTATTATTGTGATCTGATCTGGACTGATCATGTCTGGGGTAATTCAGATACTGAGCTACAAAGGACTAGTGGCAAAATCCTCATACTTGCTCTCTTTGTTGCCAGGGGGTGCCTTAAAGCCCATAATTCCAGATGACAGAAAGTTCCCCCAACAAAGAAGATCATTTTAAAGACATGTTTCAAGCACCAATTTCAAACCTTGGCTCCAGTTTTACTTGGGTTTATCTGCATGCCTGAGGTTTATGCATTAAAACCCACTTCTCAGTACTGACAACCTAGCAATAGAAAAAGTTTTTTATTGTGCTGGAAGACAGTAATGCCAGAGCTGTTTTTTATTACATTCACGGATTGTTCCCAATTCTTCTTTTTTTTTCCATGAGGGGTTTCCCTAAGAACAGTAAGGCCTGTGGTTTTATTTTATTTTGTTTGTAAACACATAACCTTTACGTAAAGTATTCAAAATGCAGAAACATAGGTAAAAAAAATCATATTGCAAAAAATGTGAGAGAAATATTTTACTGCTGCAGACACAGCATTTGTGTTTCTTAAAAACAAACAAACAAAAACAAAACAAACAAACAAACAACCACAACGAAACAACATCAAGGCAACCAAATAAAAATAAAATAAATTTCCAAACTATGATCCTTCCATCAGAACTTCAGCATTTTTATAGAGGACATCAATGTGCAATGAATCTAATGCAAGCAGAGGCCACCCTAACGTGCTCATTGACATTAAAGATTTTTTTACTGTTTAACATTGGTGCAGTTCTGTTTTTATGAAGTTCAATAGTAACACCAACAACACATTTAAGATTCTACCTCAACTACATATGTTTAAAAAATTATGTTATTAATAACTTTGTTCTTCATATCTAAGCTCCACAATCTCAGCTAGAGTATAGACATCATTGATAAAAGCTGGGATGAGGAAATGAACATGCATAAAAAGAAAACCATCTACCTTAGTGCCATCCAACTTTTGAGTTCAGTGCTGATTCACAATAAGTTTCATATTCTGAAACCGCTGCTGCCACAAGAATTTCACTATTTCCGTCTGAAATTTCATAAGACCAGTTCTGACTAAAATGAAGGAAGAGTCAGAAGATTAGCCTGCCTAAGGGCTTGTGTTTGTCTAACAGACTAAAAGCTAATATTTTCCTACGGTGAAAGAGGAGATTTGGATAAGTGGATCACACTTTCTAAAATCTCAGCTGGAAAAAACTTCAATCCACTTCAGTAGACCTTGCTGAGATTTAATTGTTGCAATTGTTTGAGATATGACGTAGACATTCATGTAACTATTGAGATTATTTTCTGTCTTCAAAGTCTGGCTATTGCAACTGAGACTGGTCAGTTCATCTCTGTGCAACCAAGTGATGGAAACTGTCCTGGAACAATTATGTCCTTTTATGACCAGTAAACCCTGTGAGGTCCACAAACTACTTCAAAAGCACTTGTGAAAGGTACAAATGAAATGCTAGGGACTTAAATTCAGTAAGTGAGGAACCATACCTTCACAGAAGATTTTCTGAGTCTACCATTTAAAAAGGATGAAAAACACTATTCTAAAATATTTCCATGCCAGTCCATCCCATGAGGGTTAATGGCATACACAGGAGTTCTGCTAAATGTCACAGTAGTTACTATGCTCTAATCCTGATCCCCAACCTACTGTAGCTGCTATAAAATATATAGTAATAATTTCCTGAGGCAGGGTAATGTATAAGGAATGTCAGACCAGGCTCTGGACATATTTGCCTTAGCTCTGTTTTATTAAAGTGAAACTTTTATTAAGGCATGTGGTGAATTGAGCAATCTGCATGATTCATGCAGTTATAAACGTATTGCTACACTCACAATAAATCAATGAGCCATTGTTGTATGTTCACTGTAGAGTAGATTAAATAATAAGGGGAAAAATCAATGTGGAAGTATTATTCAACCATATGAAAGTATTAAAAATGTACTCTGAATGTATTAAAAGCACCAAATTTTAGTTGAGCTAAGCTTTATTCCATAAACAAGTTTCCTTGTATGCAGGGTATTTATTTACTCATGGTGTATATAAGAGTCAATATAATTAACCAAGTTAAATTATGTCTTTTGCTGAGTTATTTCTGATTGGAACATACTCTTACAATTCACACTGTAAAACTAAGGGCCAAGGCTCCAGCCTGACCTCTGCATACTCTCAGCTGTACTGCTCAGAGGGAAACATGAGAAGGAACTATTCCTTCAGGACTACAACTGTCACAGGAAGATGCTGATTCATCACTCCATTGATGCCAGAGTTGCAAAGGGTCATTTTGGGTTGGGGCTAAAAGGAATGGTTGTGGTTACTCTGCATATATCCACATACCTCTGATTCTCTCTCAGCACTCTCTGAATTCTTACCGCCTTTGAGCACAGCAAACCTGTGCAAGGCATTAATGGGGCAAGCTAGAGTGAAACAGTTTAAAAATACTCTTTTTCTTTTTCACAAGAGAAGGGGGGAAAGACTTCTACCAGTTCCTGGATGAAACCAGGATTGACATTGAATCCAATTGGTCATGTAGAAGTGAATACTGGCCGTAAGTATTCCTGTAATATAAAGAAAGACATAAGCACCAAAATGCATTATGCTCTAGAATTTGCATGTGAATGACATTGTTTCATAATAACAAGCAAAGTATGCATTTCAGTCATAAACTTATTTGTTTCTTCTTCTCTAATATTCCCATTCTCTTGGTGGCTTATTTAGATTGTTTAAAAGCCTATTCAAATTAAATCAGAATAATTATAATAACTATTTGTTCCCATTATATTTCCAATGAGCACCAGGAACAGAAGCTTGTCTCTTTACCATTATAAAATACAATGTTGAAATGTATTGAATTTTCTCTAAAATTACAGGTTTAATCAGTGTAATGTAGATTCATTTTCTCTACAGTTTTTCACACAAATTGTCTCTGTTACTGTTTCTAAGCCATTACAAAGTTTGAATAGATTTCTGATCTGACCTCAGGGACAACAACTTACCTTCAAGGGGTCGAAAGATCTGTGTATCCAAGGGACTAACAGCTGACTATAAAACAACCACAACTCTCCAAAATCATTCCCAAAATATGCTTTAAAATCTACAAACCATATACTTGATAATCCCCTTAAGGATAAATAGTACGGATAGAAAGCAGAGAATGGAGACTTGTGTCCAATTTGTCGCATTCTATCATGTCCAACAGCCATTCCCAGAGTATATTTCTTAATTACAAAACTGACCAGTTACAGACTCTCCTCAGATAGGTGACTAATTGGAAGCAGTCTGGCAACATGTTATATTTTCATTTCTCAGGAAAAGCAGAAAGTCAAATGCAACATCCAATACTATGGATCATCATGTAGATTTTGGGATTCTTCTTGCAGGACTTTGGATCCACAGATCACCTAATGCTTTACTAGAAATCATCTGTCTTTCTCATTGATGGCTGTAAGTATAAGGACAATATTTATGATTTATGTAAAGCAATGTATTCTTAAAATACAGTTCTGAAATGGAGTTTAGAGTGCTCAATTTTATTTAACAACTAATATGTTAACTAAGTTGCACGTACTAAAGGGAACCCAATATATTCTGACTTGCTGCTGCAGCTTAAAAGACTGCTGTAGACATTGCTCATCACCAACTCTAATCACAAGCCAAAACACAATATTCTGGTTCACAACAGTCCCCAGGTCTTAAGCTTACAGGTTAAAAGGAGGTTGAATAAAATAGAATCATAGAATCGTTAAGGTTGGAAAAGATGTCCAAGATCATTGAGTCAACCTTTGATCAAACACCATCATATCATCTAAACCATAGCACTAAGTGCCACGTCCAGTCATTTCTCAGACACTTCCTGGGATGGTGACTCCACCACTTTCCCCTGGCAGCCTGTTCTGATGCTTGACAACCCTTTCAGTGAAGAAATTCTTCCCGAGGTCTGACTGCAAGCTCCCCTGGCACAGCTTGAGGCTATTTCCTCATCCTGTTGCTATCACAACAAAAAAATCACAAACATTTTAAGGGTTTCCTCCTTGTGGGAAGAGTTCAACAGCTCATGCAATCTCCTTTCACTTATCCTATCCTGAGCTGGTCTCTTCATCATGAAGTTGGGCAGGGACAGCTTGAACGTTAAGAAAGGGAATAATAGAAGGAGGATTTGAACTGCCAGCACCTTCATGTCTATGCAGGGCCCTGAAACCAAATCTTTGTGATGCACTTATTAGCTATCATACATTGAAACAGGTTGGCAGAGAGCTGGACAACATCTCCAAGTTAGTAGACCGGTGACATTTATGAAGTCAAGCTCAAAATTTTTCAGTATATACAGTGACACTTGACCACTGGATGTCAACTACATTTAATAAAGCTGTAAAGATTATTCCAACTCATATTTTATGATACAAAGACAAGCTTGTAAATTCTGTGAATTTTGACAGATTTATGATTTTTTAAGAGTGTTTTTCTCCATCTCTTAGATAATTCTTGGAGAAGATTAAAAAACCTTCTATTTTTCTTCTGTTGCATATGTTAATTACTAGGGAGACACAAATCTGAGTATGAACTGATACTCTAGCTCTGCTGACATGAAAATTGTCATCAGTCTCTTCACAGCTGACTAAAATTAGTGATGGACCTGAACCAAAAGTTATTATAACAATACACTCAATTTCTAAAACCAAGATTCCACCCACAGACACTTCAAACATTCATAT